GGAATAAACGAATGAACCAATAAAAACTAAAAGCTCTGAACTATTCTCCAGCATAGAAACTTCTTTCATTTTCTCTCACCCAGGGTATTTCATACCTATATAATCACAGGAATCTTTTTTTTTTTTTTTCTGGTAGCACTACAAACTACTTCATTTAAAAAAAAAGAAAAGAGGGCGCAGAGGATAAAATAACAAACATACATGTCACCACTACCCATGTTAAGAATTAGATGTAACAAATACAACAGAAGCCCCTTGGGGACCCCTCCTCCATTTCATTCACCGCAGACCCCTCCCTCAAATGAGGTAACCCCTAACTTTAGGACTTACACCTACATGAGACTTAAAAAAACACCCGGCTGTGACAAGTCCTGAATGGGGTGGGGATGCTGAAGTCTCTTTAACACTAAGATTTTAATTTATTTCTAGTGAGTATATATTTTATAAATGGTCATCTTTAAAGCTATCCATTTATTGCATTAATACAATTAATAAGAAATGAATAACATAACACTATGATGTAGAAGCAAGACAATGGACAACCGATGTAATAATGATAAATATGAAGACGCTAAGCAGCTTCTCTTTCAAATAGACTGATATGAATTCTAAAGAGTATCTCTATCTCTCTATCTCTCTATCTCTATCTCTATCTCCATCTCTATCATCTCCATCTCTCTGTCTATATCTATCTTAGGTCACTGTGTGTGTATATCATAGATATAACACAGATAGATATAACATAGATATACACACACAGTGACCTAAGAAAACAGAAATCTCTGATACTTAACCTAGACTGAGCAATTTAGAAATTATTCAGTACGGTTATAGAGAAAAATATCCTAAAACCTTTGACTTAGGCACAAAATCACCTGGAGCTGCAAAAGTAAAACTGTGTCTGGAACAATGTCACATAATAGATGCTGCTAAAAAGAGACCCTCTTCCTGAGCTGAATAAAGTTACTAACAAAATAATCTCTTTTATGAAAATCCGGCACACTACAATAGAGGAGCCAAACGAGCTATCATCGCTTGATAGGAAAAGAACTATTTAAAAAATTTTAGCTATTATTTTTCACGGCCTTGTTTTGGAAAAATCTTTCTTCTTCAAATTTTCAAGTACCATTATAGATATTTCTCAACTGTCTTAGAAAAACTTTAAGTATGCTCTAACTAAATATTCTTTTGCATACTTAATTTTTGTCCCTTGCTTTAGATAAAAGATAAAAAGGCCCAGCACAATATATTTCCATGCATTACCACACTGCTCTGTTTCTCAATTTTATTTATAAAGGATATTGAATAGACAACCTCGTGAAAAAACGAACAAAAAATAGTTGAACCCCACAGCTGTGCTGTGTAGATAACCAGATACACAATCAAACCAAGAACTAGAACAACAGAGAATGGGAAGATGTATGGGTTTATTAGCTTTAATGCTCTCAATCTTTATCCTAGCCACGATCCTAATACCCCATACATCAGTCGTGCCCATGCACCGTACATCAGAACAACGAGGCATAGCATGTAACATTTTTACGTTATAACTGGTCATTGGTGTCATGCAGTTTTATAGGCAAATACGTGGATTAGAATTTTGTTCCACTCTTGAAATCCTCTCACTTTTCAAGCCAACTCACTGAATTCTTCTTCTGTTAAATACTAACAGAAAGTGAAACAGAACCTCGCTGTTCATTTCGAAGCCCCAAAGTCCTTTCTCACGTTTAAATGAATGAAACAAATTAATATCTAAAAATATTTATAAAAGGGAAGTGTCAATTCCTACCTCCATTATCTTTTAGATGTAGTGCTATCTTGGTATCATCTGAAAGAGAAATTCAAAGTTAATATAACAGAAAACATTTTAAAGGTGCATAAATCTCATGAGCAGTAATCGTCTACTAATGTCTTAACTATACAAGAATAGATTTTGATATTTTACTGAGTTAATTTCTAGTTCAACTTACACCATATAGTACTGAAATTTCTTACTGTGAATGTAAGATCAAGATCAAGATATGATTTTAAGATCCATGAGAAAATACATTGTTATAATTTTAACTTAAGGTACAATTTATTTTTAATTTTTTAAAATGAGTTATTATAATTAGACTCTATAGTTATGACCTTCTTTATTTGGTTTAAAAAGCAAGACCGAGAAAGTTCAAAATTAATTGGAATGAGAAAGATTTGTCATTATTTACAAATTTAACTTCAAAGGTTAAATGCTTATTCCTTGCTAATAAATATGTCCAACGTTTTTTAATGAAAAAAATCTTGTCCTTAATGAACAAAACGTAGGACATATGTTTTCATTTCAGTGGTTATATTTCATTCTAAAGGGCAGGATTCAAACTGCAGGAATATTTTCACAGGACAGTATTCAAATTATAAAAATATTTTCACAGGCTGTATGACAACCCACAGAAATATGGATTAAAATACAACACTGGTTTTAAAAGCAGTAAGATATATTTGGCAGCTGTCCTCCACCTCACTTTACCACTTTATTCCAGTGAACTTTTAATATCCAATGAAATTTCAATGAAAAGCAAAAGGTTCAAGTTTAATTTCATATTCAAATAAAAGCAAAGTTTAAGACAGTAAACAAGTAAGAACATTTTTCCCCCTCGAAGCTTATTCTTGGCCAAGAGGTCTCATGTTTCTCTTTAGTGCTACCATTCAGAATAGATAGTTAACAAATTTTGGCTAATATGCCTCTTCCCCCGATAAGTTGTGTCCATGAACTAATGTTTTCTGGTATTTTCCCCTTCCCTGACAGAAGAAATATTTTCCAAGGACAATTTCTGTGACATAAACAGTGCGCTTCTATTTTTATTGAATTGCATATGAGCAGAATCATCTATTGTTCAGAATCAAAAATCAATGAACATTTTACATGCCTTTTTTTTTTCCCTTTCTATCCTGTGACTAAAATGTCGAATTCAATTACTGCAAAGTTTAGCAATATGAAAGGAAGTCTGTATTTCTTTTCTAGCGAGGACAGCCACCAGTAAAAGCCAAGAGTTAATAACAGGCCTGGCACATTAAAAGAATCCTGGCACATATTTTCATTCCTTAATAATTTTGTCTTTTCGCTTTTAGAAATCCCGTAGCAATACAGTTTGCTAAAGAAAAATTTTCCTTCTAGACAGCTACCCCAGTACGTGACTTTTCCCTCCTTTAGAAAAAAAAGCAAAAATATCTCTAGGGCACCTTCTGTGGGCAGGCTGGTGGGCAGCTGGGAGGTGGCTGCTCTTCTGGTGGTCGTTAAGACCCTGAATTGTGTGGTTGTCGCTTGCGTGGTTGTGCTGGTCTGGGAAGGACTTTCCACTGGCTCTGTGTTCTCACACATCTTCTCTTTTGACTGATAAGAGAAACAGGTGGGAAAAGAATTTAAGAGTGAACATACATGTTTTTAAAAATTACATCAAAGAAGTTGGTCTGTAAAGCACAAAAGACTCTCCAATCAAGATAAAGAATAAATTAAATTTTTTTTTTTTGGTATGGGACTAAATTTATAGATTTTGCTTATTTGCAAAGCATGTAAAAGAGACAAGAGAAAAAAATTGGATGTAACAAAGCATTTCCGTCCTTAGATTTTTGGATTTCATCATTTTCTGCTGTTAACTTTTCATATTACTATTTATCTTACCCTAAATTTTATATCAATATATTTGCACAAGCCGTGATCTCAAAAGGATAAAGTTCATACAGGAAGAAAAACAGGCACATAAAGACGAGGTTTACAGCATACTTAAGTGTGTGAAGGAAGAATGCATTCCCTTCATAACAAACTGATAATGATAAATTCTAAAATGCTTGCTGTTCCATACCACGTTATTGTTTTAAAAATAACCCACTATAGGTTGAATAGATACTTAAAATTGTTTTCCTTTATGAAATATTCAAAACCACCCAAGCAAAGGATTGCAGAGCACTCATGGAATCACTTAGCCTGCCTTTACTAGTAGAGCTATGCTGAGGACACCACGAAAAGGTGCACATCGTATTTTTCATTTATAGCCCATAAAAATAAGTCCTATATTCTTCAGCAGTAACAATCTTCACCTTCCAAACTCTTTATCCCTTTGATAAGCCTTGAGTAGAAGATAAATATTCTGCACGTGGGTGGCATTCACCCCCAGTTTGAATTAATTATTATATAAATACGTTTCTTAAACTTCTCCCATCATTAGTGAAGGACGATGCACCTTATTACTGGCTAGGAAGAGTTCCGGAGATGGCTTCCTCTTCACTAACTCATTCAGTTCTCCCAACTTTAGTTCCTGTATCTTCTCAGCCCCAACCATCTCATGATCTCTTTCTTGACTGCACTCTAGTTATCATCTCCACATCCTGGACCTTGTCTGCAATTGGAAATACTTCAGTTCTGAAATCATAAATTCTGTTATCCTATTTTCAGCCTATCCAGGTACCTGTTCACTCAAATTCTCCCTATTTTGTGACTACGCAGAAAGCCCAAGCACAATGATTTTCTTCCTTTCAAGTCTCTTTTTCTCCATCACTTCAACCTCTTCTCAATAACATCAAGCATCTTGCCCTATTTTTTTCCACATCGCCTTTTCAGAAAATCACCAATGCTGAATATAGTAAAAAAAAAAAAAATTCCCTGCTTGCTCCTAAGCCAGGCGCAGCTGGAGAACAATCACACAGACCCGCTCCATGGGGGAGCTCTGCGAATTTATCTCCTGCATCCTCAGCAGGGAATTCCATGCTTCTTGGCGATGCTGCCCTGCTTTGTGACTCTCCTACCCCATTACCCTCACTATCAATTTCAAACCCTCTCCACCTTACTTAAAACTACGATTCCAGAATGCCTCTTCTGATTTTACCCCATGGGTTCACCTTTCATTTCCTAAATTAAAGAATCATCAGTAAGAATTATTTAAATTCCTTTATAAATCAGCATTCTTGCTTGAATCTGTACTAACCTCTCTTTCCTTCCTCTGTTATCATGGATAGGGGCCATTATTTATATCTGTTCTCTCAATTTCCACTCTGGCCCAACTCAGTCCACCTTCTCAGGGATTGTGAACTTGCTCATTTGATCCCATCCCTTCTCTTCCATATTTTAAAGCTCTAATTTTCCACTGCCTTAGTATCATCAGCACTGAAACATACTCAAGTGTGTCTAATCTTATTTGAAAAGCCCAGCCTTTCCTCTTCTCCAAAGTACATCCTCACATCATCCTGCATTTCCTTCCATTCAGTCATACTTTCAGAAAGATTGGCGTGCCCTGGTTTTCTCAGACTCCCATTTTCTCCATTTATGAAAATCTTTTTACCCAGTCCACCTAAATTGAAATTTCTCATGCCAACGTTTCTAAATATCTCCTTATTTACTAAACCTTCCATGGTATATCCTTGATACCTCATCAGCATTTGGCACAGTTGTCCATCTTCTAATTTTGAGTTCTGTCCATCTGCTCATCAATTTCGCGATACCTCTCTAACAACTCCTCCTCTATTTCCTTTATTTCTGTCTATCCCTTAAGTGTTGGTGGTTCTTACGGATTGTAATTGACCCATCTTTTCACTGTCTGCATTCTCACTAGCAATCTCCTCCACATTCATGATGATTATGTTGATGACTCATAAATCTGTATCTTCAGATCCCATTTCTCTCTTGGATTTTTGACCTAAATAGTTGCCTACTGACTTAACAAATGTGGAATGCATGTGGATGTCACAGACATCTCAAGTCTAAAATGGGACTTGCCACATATTAGTCTCCTCCTGTGTCCTTATTTCTGAAAACAAGTATTGTCCGACACCCTAAAGTTTAAGGTAAAATCTTGGCTTGCTTACGGCAGTAAATGTAGACTAAAGACTTTAAATACAAGTAGAATACAATACAAATAGATTCTGGATAAAACATGAATTTTAGGATTACTAAAGTATTACTAGGATTTGCAGGAAGTAAAGAAAATCTCCAATGGTGCCTTTCTATTATCCCCCCGACAAAATAATAAGACAAAGCAAAAACTGTGTGCTTTAAAGATAACAGGCGCAGTACACATTAAGTAAAAAAAGCAGGGTCTGCTTTGAGGGCAAAAAGGGAAAAACCAAGCTCTAAGGAGATCAAGTCTTGTGCTGGCAGTTGATGGGGAAGATAAATCTAAACTTCTCCTCATATTAAGGCAGGGGCATATGGTGTCCTCTAAAACCCTTGAGTTCCTATCATCAAACCCTCTTTGGCGCAAAGCATCACCTGTTTAGATCATAGGGATTCCCGTGGAATAAGATCAAACAAATATGCACTTCTAATTAAAGGATACAAAAAGAAATCCAACAAGAAAAGTAGTACTTTGACAAAGTGCAAAACCATGAATGACGTATTTAGCTTACCAAAAACTTTAGACACAGATCATTCAACATAAAATATATAAAAATTATACATACTTAAAGACATGAAAGGCAAAATTTTAAAATGAACTAATAACATAGTCTATAAAAATGAGTCGGCAGATTTAACAAGGTGCCAAATTTAAAGTTTAGAAATAAAAAATACATTAATTGAAATTACTACCTCAATGAATAGATTAAATGGCAGATAAAACAAGACGAAGGGAGAATTAATAAACTGGCAGATAGATCTGAAGAAATTACCCAGGGTGTAGCACAGATAAATAAGATAGATGATGCATGAGAGACATAAAAGATAGAAGGAAATAATGAGAAGGTCAAGTCTATCTTCAAAGAGCTCAGAAGGTAAAAAAAGAAAATGGAGAACGTCTGAATGAACACTACATTTATCAAACTTGACACCCGCTTGATTAGAAAACACAATCTTTTTGAGCACATGTAGATCATTTGTTTAAATTGCCCATATGCTGTCCCATAAAAGAGATTCCAACCAATTTTAAAGAATCAGGATCATATATGCTCACTGACAACAATTTAATTAGGTTGGAAGTCAATAATAAAAAGATAAATTTAAAAACTGTCCATAATTCAGAAATGCAATATAATTCACAATTCAGTATAATTCCAATAAATATATTAATGAGGTTGACTGATTGATTATAGATCTTGACCAGTTGAGTCTAAAATCTGTAAGAATAATAAAAGCCTCAAAATATGCAAAACATGTTTGAAGAAGAAAAAGTTAAGTGATGTCCTATGGATAGCAAAATTTCTTATAAAACTATAGCAATTAAGACAGCGTGACATTGGTCAAGGTATTGACAAATTGAGCATTAGAACAGAAGATCCCAGAAACCAAATGTATGGAAACTATACAAGAAAGAGGTGGCTTTGAAAGAAATTGCCAAAAGGAAGGATTATTCAATAAATGCTGCTTGAAATTATCCATAAAGGAGAAAAATCCCCACAGAAATGGATTTCTACCTTAATCATACATAGAAACCAATTCCAAATGGAATAAAGATTTTAATGTGAAAGACGAATCTTTAAAATATTTAGAAAAAAAATTTTTGAAAAAAAAAACTATAAAGTTTGGTAAGAAATTTTTTTAAACAAGATACATGTACAAATGAAGCTAACCATAAAAGATTAATTAGACACATTAAATTGTAAGTGAATGGTAACTAAATAAAATCATAGAGAACTTGAAAAGAACATAAAGAAAAGAACTGGGAAGAAAATATATACAACTGGAGATATTAGCTAAAGCAATAATACAACAAAAATAAAAAAAAAGATATAAGGAATTGAAAGAAGCGAAATGCTTATTACTTACAGGTGATATGACTGTTTAAGTAGAGAACCATTAAGTATCTTGAGATATATTTTTTAAATTAGCAAGAAAGTTTTGTAAGGTGGATATATATCAGATCTATTATGTTACATATAATCAATGAAGACTTAGTATTCTGAATAAGAAGAGCAAGGCAACTACTCAATAAAAAATAAGAAAAAGATATGAACAGGAATCTCACAGAAGAAGAAAGATAGAAAGAGAAACACAGAAGCCAAAAAACACATGTAAGTACATTCATCCAGTCCTTCATCAGTGCCTGGATATACATCAAACCTCCAGATAACCTGTTGGTTACCCACTGAACAACTAAAGAAAGAATGTTCATGTATCCAGACCACCTGACATCATTTATCTAGACTGACACCCACTATTCAGACCACCAGTCATCTAGAGAGTTCTACCTTGAGCCAAGCCAGAGGCTAAGAATGCAGAACTATAAGAACTCCGAGTTTTTCCTTCTTCTTCAGAACACATCTGGTTTTGTTTGCCTAGTTGTGTTTATGGACTGTGGACCCTAAGACCCTTGAATAAATCTTTATCATTTATTACTAAAAAAAGAGAGTACATTCAGCTTCGTTAATGATTGGTAAACTGCAAATTAAGTTCCCAAGAAGATACCATTTTACACCCATCACATTTGCAGAAATGAAGAAATATGACAAAACCAAGGTTGTCAGGATCATGAAATAATGAGAACTAGAAGCAGTTCCAGCACTGTGCTTGTAGCATTGAAAAACTGAAAAAGATTTGGCATTATCTTTTGAAGGTGAACATTCACCTAACTCATATTCAGTAATGTCACTTTAAGAAATATTAGAGAAACTTTTCTGTATTTGATTCAAGAGACAAATGTAAGATGTTTTTGTAATAGGAAAAATCTGGAAATAATGTCCATAAACAAAAGACTAAGTGAAGAAAATATGATTGTAAGAATATAGACTCCAGGAGGGTTGGGTTTGGTGGTTGTGTTTTGTTTTGTTGTCAAATTGCATCCCAGTACCCAAAAAGTGCCTGGGACATCAAGGACACATAAGAAATATTTGATGAGTAAATAAATGGGATATTCAGACCATGGAAAATATGCTATGAAAATTAATAAACCACCATCATGGATAAGTATGAACAACAAAATTCTGAGTGATGAAACCAAAATTCGGAATAGTTTTATTTATTTCTAAGAGGGAGAGGCAAAGAGCCAGCTTCATAGTCATTAGTAATTCCACTTCTTAAATTGGGTAGTGTAATCATGGATATCTATTTTTTTAAATTGTGTTTCAGAACTACATTAATATTATAAAAATGTTTTAAAAAAAGATGTTTCAAATAATTCTCATTTCTATTTCACAACCCTACCTCTGGGTCACCACCACCTTTCCCATTGGTTTAGTCCAGATCATCAGCCTCTTTGGCCTGAATGACAGCTACAGACAACTCATAGGCCTCTTGTATCATAATCCAAAATTTACCCACAGCCAGGATGATTCTTTAAAAAAATCATTTGGCTCAAACCATCCCTTTCATTAAAATCTTTCAGGTAGCTTTCTCTTGCTCAAGATAAAGCCTAAACTCCTTAAACTTATCACATTTTGGTCCCTGCGTAAACCACTGATGTCATCTCTCTGTATTCCTCATTTTAGAACTTCAGTTAGTTACCTTTCAGGCATCATCTTAAATGTCATCACCTTCTCAGGCAAACCGTCTCTTACTCTGCTTAGCAAGACCATACACTTGTAGTTCCTGTATCTTTGTCCATGTCATTCTCTAAGTGCAGTCCTTTGTTCAGTGGTCTATCTACCAAGGGGGCACATTTTTTTCCCACTTTCATATTATTGGTGCTTAGAACAGTACTTAGTAAGTGCTCGTATGAGAATTTGCACTTATTGAATAAACTCATCTCACAAGGTCAGAATGAAAATTTAACCTTGATTTAGGCACGGAAAATGGACTGGAGTTGGTGACCTTGTTACTTATCTGTAAAAGGAGAGAACTGCTTACCATAAAGCTAGTAATGTTGATAATTTAACTACAGAATAAAACAGGAAGCACTGAATACTGCAGAATGTATTAGGACTCTGAGCTCTTTGGGAGTAGGGGGCATTTTTTTTTTTTTAATCTTTGTAATTTTAGTGCTTAGTACAGGCCACAAAACATGGTAAATTCCCCACAAATATATTTAGGAGGGCTTAAAATATGATGGATTCTTTTCTGTCTCCTATGGTTCATGGTGAGCCCACACTGAAGGAAGAAAATTAAGACGTCTGAATTCTACCCTTGATCTTCATGGAAGCATAGATATTCAATTTAAACATTTAATTAAAAATTAAATAAAAATCAGAAAATGGATTAATTTTAATTTAAATTAATTTAAATTAAATTTAAAATTTTAATTTTTAAATTAAATCAGAGGTAACTGTGATTACGTGAAAGACACATCAACCTGAAAACACAACTATGACTGTGTCAATATATTTTCTTTTTGAACTAAGCTGCATTAGTTTATAGATGCATTAGTTTATATCATTGTAATCACCCAACTAAATCTCAAAAGTTGATTAAAATTCAAGAATATTCTCAAAGACGTATTTATCAATATATTTATGAGACATTATCAATAAAATTTTAATTTTCAAAAAGAATCTAGCAACTACTGATCATCTAATAATTTTTAAAATAGTATTTCGACATGATTTGCTTGACTGATGAGAAAAAGTCGTTTTTATTCAAACTTCATACCCTAAAACTTAACAAAGGGAGAAGGAACAAATACTTTCCTTTGTGAACTTTACAGAATATCTTTATGTGACCCTGAAATGACAGTGTAAATCCAATACACTAGAAAACGTTAAAACAGGTAAAAACTGCCTCTGCAGTTGTACACACTTGTTTGAATCACTTCACTGCATCATTTTATCATGTTTGCCTGGGAGTTACTGTTTCGTGATATATCTGTTCTAACTTCTTACATCACACCGATTTTCTGCAATTAATCTTCTCCTCCATACCAATGGTTTTGTAATTTGAGTGAATAAGATGAAAAACGGCTTCCTAGATCTTAGAAAAGTAGCAAGCGTTTAAGAGAATGACCCTTTGTTCATAGAGATTCAAATCCTGGTTCTGCTATTCCCTAGCCACATACCCAGCTTTGAATACCCTCACTCCACCCCTCCCACTACCTCCCCTCACCCCTCTCTCTTCTCTACTTGGTAATATGGGGCTAATAACAGTTCCTGCCTCGTAGGATGGGTATGAGAATAAACAGAAAATACATGCAAAGACTTAAACCCAAAGTTTGGCACACATGAGGGACTCAATAACTGCTAGCTACTTTGATCAAATTAGATAACTATTTTCATTATATTGTGGCAGCTAGATATGAGAGCTTGGTCCCCTGAATCTTGTCATAATAAAGCACACATGTACCTCTTCAGGGCATCCACTGTCCACCCAGTCCTGCCGATGGCGATCGAATCCACTGGAACATCTTCAGAGAAGACCACATTGCAGTTCGGAAAAGGGAGCATGGGGTGCAGAGTGAGGGGCAAAAATTAAAAGAAAAAGACTGGTAAGTAGTTAATTCTCGAACTTTCAGTTTAAAACAACATAAGCTTTCCCTACAGAGCTCTTCATTGGAGCCGCAGTGAAGTATTCACAGGGCTCTGTGTAACACCTCACCCCTATGTTGTCACGTGGTTACGATCAAACACGGCAACGAATGACTCCACTGCGACGCCCTTCACTATGCGGGCCACCTGGATCTCTACCCGAAGGTAAGGCCAATTGCCATGCTATGAAGTTGGTTTTCCCCATTTCTTCCCTCCTCACTCAAACAAATAGATACAGACAAATATTTTGCAGGTATCATTTTTCAGGATTTCAGATCTCTTTGTTTTTCTTCAATTTTTAAGTTTAAGATCCACAGTCAAACACGCTCTGTGCAGTAAAGGGTTCACTCAGCAGGTTTGGGGTTTTCAAACCTTGTCTGGCTCCTGGGAATTAGCCTCCTGGAATATCCTGCCGGATAAGAGTGTCTCTGCACATCTCGGGGCTCGGGCTATGTGAGATTTTTATGACAATATGATTAATGGTGAATGTCTGTTTTATTTGCTTGAAGCCCTGGGCCATGCTGTATGAGTTTGACCTCTGCAGGGGCTGGAGACTAGAGATAAGGTTAGTCATGCAGAATTTCATACTGATGAGACCGACCCTCAATAAAAACCCTGGACATGAAGGCTTGGGCGAGTTTCCTTGGTTGGCAGTACACGCTGTGTGTTTTCATAAAGTGTTGCTGGGGGAGTAAGTGCTGTCTGCACAACTCCACTGGGAGAGGACAACGGGAAACTTGTTGCTCCTGGACTCTGCTCTACGTGCCTTTCACTTTTGCTAATTTTAATCTGTATCCTTTTGCTGCAGCAAACGGCAACTTTGGGTGCAACAGCTTTTCTGAGTTCTGTGAGTCCTTCTAGTGAATTGTTTGACCTGAGTGTGTTCTTGACCTCACCATGATGAGGTCATATCTAACGGGTCTAATAGAAAGCACCGGGCTAATAAGCTTTGGTTGATTCTTTCTCTCTTCCTTGACTGGAATAACTTTCTGCCCTCCTTATCTAACTACAGTCCATTCATTTTTCAAGACTCAGAAATTACTCTCCAGAGCCCATTCTGATAAAGCTGCATAATTGCTGTTGATCACATTGTACTTACCTATTTAACTTTCTCTTTTATATAAAATTTCATGTGCTTATTTATATCTTATTTACCAAACTTGATTTGAACATTTTAATGTTAGGGCCAGTGGAATATATGATCATACCTAGTATGTTTGACACATGATTTCTTTTTCACGTTAGAAATTAAAAATATTTTTGCCAGTCTATTAAGATTAAAGACTTACATTGCCCCTGAATTTTAATATCTAAGTATGCATTTACATATAATATATGTGCATTCACATATAATATATATGAATCCATATTAGTAAATGTTCATCTTAAGATATTTATGTTCTTTAAAAATAAGTGGAGGCTGTTCAATTTTTGTCTTATATTTTCTTATAGGACTTATGTAGTGCTACTTTATTTTTTCCACTTGTTTTGCAGTGAGTCCACATGATGACTTTTCCTAAGAATCTTTGCCAGAGATTATGTACTACAGCATGAATGAGCATAATTCAAGTGGAATGTGAAAACAACTTTACTGTCAACAAAAATGACCATATCTATCATTCGGCCCAGACATGATTCATTAGAGCTCAGCTATTTTATGCCTACCATCTGTGCTGAACAAGCTTAAGTGTGGAATAAACATCAGTGTGTGATCTGGCATGCTAACTTTGAGAATACTCAGTTGGTCAAGGCCATCTCTGGTTATCCAAAGAGAAACTGACATTTAGAGTCTATTTAATTCCAGATGAGTTAGATGGTTATTCTCTCTCCTTTTTTCCTTTCAAGATTTTTAAAAAATATTTCCAAATGTACACACTGACACTGTCTTTTTCAAGATGGGGATATGTCAATTTTCTGCAATAAAAATATTTTTTTGGAGACACCTGACCACAAAAATTAAACAAAACAGATAATTTATAAAATGCAATTTGTTTTCACTTACTCTATTGCAGATGTATTCAAAGCCACTGAGAAATAACAACTTTTACCTCATATTATAACAAGACAATAGTAAATCTTAAATTTACGGGTCAACTGAAATTTCATCTTTAGTAATTTCTCCTTTAAATGGGTAAATCAATCCTGATTTATTAAAGGATTCCCCAGGTATATTGTGTGAAATTAGGTTCTACTGAAAATATGTGATTCAATTAAGTAATTCATTTATTCACAATCGATTCCCTATTAATTGATCTGCAGTCTACTAATTGCTAGAGTAGGAAGAACTGAGCACGGCAAATACAAATGAGATTTGGTTTGAAAAGCTCATGCATTTCTGTGGCTTACAGTGCCTTTAAAAATTAATATAACTAGACCCTGCTCCTTTAGCATTTTTTTTATAATCTAGTAATCTAAATAGTGTCTGAAAGCAATTATAAACAAAAGTGTGTGTGTGTGTTAAAATCATTATGAAAAACCACCTTTATGTTATTTCTGAATTCAAAATAAACCACAAATCACTTTTGAGAACAACTTCCTCTCTGCCCTGAGCTGCTGTGTTGTTTTTCCTAAAACACAACATTAACCATGTCATGCTCCAGCATGCTGATTTCTCGACATTTCTACACTGTAACCATCTCATACTCTTGTTGAAATGTAAATTCCTGGGTCTAGCTGAATAAGATTCTCAGGCAGTTTGGGTTCAGCAATTTTCATCGTAAACAAGCACCCCAAGTGATTCTTACCACAGTGAAATCCGAAAACCACTGACCTTCTGTACAGTATGGCTGAATGGCAGGCTCATTTCTCACTCCTCTAGCCCATGGGCTACATACAACCTGTTCTCAGGCCCCTTAGCGCCCCCCCCTGAATGTGCTGTGCTCTTTCACGTCTCTGCCACTGAACATGCTATGACTTATGCCTGGAATACCTTCCTTGTCTCTAATTAGTGAGCCCAAGTAAACCAACCGAACTCAAGCCTATCTCTTCCAACAAGCATCTACTTTCTTAGCGACCCTTTCTCAGTGTCCCCCCAATATCAAGTGCTAGCATCGTTATTACACTACAGCTAGTTGTGCTCCAGCTTATCTATTCATAAGAATTTGGGGAGAACATGGTTCAGAGGGAGGTTCTGGGGTCAAACTGCTTGAGCTGGAATTTTGGCTTGGGCAAAAAATAGGTATGTGGTCTTAGGCAAGTTATTTTGCCTATCTAAGCTTCTTTCCTCATCTGTAAAATGAGGTAAGAGAGGTTATGTAAGGATTGAAATTACAGCTCGGTACATGGTTAATATTTAGTAAATATCAGCTGTTTTCAAAACCTAAGTGATGACTGTAATACGCATATAGTAAGGTCGACATTTGTTGAAAAATGAGCAAGTGAGATTTTCATTTTATAGACAGCACCTTGGAGAATGTTTAGGAATTAATTCTGTGTACCATATTAATGTGAAATGTCCTTTATCATCATATTTGGGAATTAGTATTATAGAATCCTATGAGAGAAAATCTAAGTTGGCTCTCAAACATGGGCCAATTCTTTATTCAATATTTATAAATAAGACAGATTATGTGGCTTTGTAAATAATTTTCAAAAACTGATTCCAGTACAGTCTGAGCTCCTAATTATACTAGGTTTCCAATGTGCTCATTTTCAAGTTATTCTCTTCTTCTCACTCTCATCTAATTACAAAGCAAATGGATAAACAGCTATACTTTAATTGAACTATTCCCCACTCAATTTCAATGGGATGCTGATTTCAAACCTCCCAGGAACCACGTTAAGTGAACCCCATTAAATAAGGAAGCCTAGGGGGGGAAAAACCTGAAAAAACACAACAGTATTCTAGCTTGCAGCATCTATCCAGTTCAGAGACTAAAATGTAAAGCTCATCAAATCTCTAACTTGCCTCAGTTTTGTAGAAAAGGTTTCAGAAACATCTTATTTTAAAAAGGTAATACATTCAAGTTAAGGATATAGCAAATGTTAAATACACACACACACACACACACGCACACACAAAAGCAATACATAAAAATTAAAAATGAAGTGAATCTTACTGTACAATTGAACATGAGTCATTTCACCAGTGAGAAGAAATATCTATAATAGAGAACTTATGGAAGCAACTTCACAGAATCTTAAGACCTAGTTAGCAATTAGTTTCTAGATAAGGAGTAGGAAATGTTTTCTGCAAAGGACCAAATGGTAAGTACTTTTGGCTTCGCAAGCTATAGTTTCTGTCCTAGTCATCTCTGCTATTGTAGTTTATAAGCAAAGACAAATGCATAAAGAAATGAGTGTGCATGTGTTCCAATAAAACTGCATTTACAAAAACAGGAAGTGGGTCAAATTTGGCCCACTTGCTATAGTTTGTGGATCTCTGTTCTAGATTGTTGTCTAAAATTAGAGATCTGTGAAATTCAAAAATTTTACTACAAATACCTCATTAAGGTGCCTGTTGATTTAAATGTTCCTTGCAGCCTTAGGTGTATTTATCATAGTGTGTTAACTTAATGGAAAAATCAAATGTACATTTAGCAAATTTTCTTGCCAGTCTATAAAAGTATGAAAAATGATCCTCCAGCATCAAAGAAATGGAAAAATGCTTTTAAAGAAAGTAGAAGTATTTTAGATGAGAAATGAGTATAATGAAAAACAGCTGTGATTATAACTAATAACATATTTTATCATAGGGTAAAATAGACAATAGGTATTATGAAGCTGAAGATATGGAAAAATCAGTTTGTTTTGAAATAGTGAAAAATTTTAATTGGAAAGGTAGGTCATAAAAATTTAAATTTTGATAATCATCATTAGTCTCAATAAAAATTAAATTAGTAAAAAAATATCTCACTTTCCGTATGGAACGTGCTTATTG